TACTTATATCTAATACACCCTCAAATATTCAACCAAATAAGGTCCACTGCCTATATATAATTGCCAAAAAAACTTATCACACAGATTCCTTTGACTCAGTCAAGAAAATACATCTTTCAATCATAGTTTTAAGTTAATTTATCTATTTGATTAATATTATTATAAAAATAAATTTATTTTTAAACATTCCTCAATTATTTAACCCCCAATCATTTATTAGAATATCTAATTTATTTTATACATATTAATTGCAAATATCAAAATCATTTATATTTTTATATATATTTGTTAATTTTTTTAATAAAATTAGTTTTTATAATTTTATCAAATTCACTTGATGTTTCATTAAAAATCTTATTATCCACTTATTGTTCATTTATGGAATCCTTATTATTAAATATAATAATATTTTATGATTCATATCTTATTAATAAATAAAAATGATGTACTTATATTTATTGTAGTTGCTGGTACTTTTAATTTTAGGTAAGTAATTTATACCTTAAAATAATAATCAAAATTTATACAAAAAAAGAGATCTGTATAGATATAATTAAATAAAATCTACAATACTCTAAAAGTAGATGAGGATTAATTAATTATGTTAAGAAAATAAGATTTTATAAAAAAATATCCTGTCAATTAAAAATTATTTTGGATTATGTGTTCTAGATGAAATAAGTTAAACTATCTTAAAAGATGGGTTGAGAGCTCATCTTACTTAATTTTTATTGTAATAATCATTTATAATTTTTTTTGTTTTAATTATTTCATCTTAATTATAAATGACAAATGAAAACATCTTTTATTTTTTTTTCAATAAAAACATAGTGTAATAATAACATTTTTTGCATGAGTTTAAATTATTATATAAATCATTTAAATAAGGTTTATACAATAAATATATAAAAATATAGAGTACACTTTAAAAAACAAAATGTATTTTTAACAATGTGATGATTCACATTCATATTATCTTTGATTATAAACATTCATCCTTTTTGATTCTATCATCACCTATAAAAAATAAAATATATTTACATTAGCATAGATTATATATAATATCATAATTTTTATAATATGTCTTATATAAGGCCTGTTCTTTATACAATATAATTTTTAAAAAATAAAAGAAGATATAAATATTAATTTACATGACTTATTGATTATTAAATTGTATTGCTTTTGTAAGATTTTGCCTCATACCAGTTCTCAATTCCTGGTTTCTCAAGTCAGCAAAATGAAAAAATCTAATATTTAAATATCTTTAAAAAAATAGTATAAAACTAATAAATGATTACCTTTGAACAATTAATTTTACAAGAATTTGAAAATGGCTGTAACCAATCTCATGTTCATTAATATGTTCAGTAAGATCAATAAAAATATTTGTACCAATTATTGTGGAAAAAACCAACACTTCCATTTTTTTAATAATATTTTTACGTTTAATATCATTTTGATAAGTTCTAAATGAACTTTCACAAATTCGGCATAATATAGACATACTAGATGAAGGAATCACTAACCCCCCATTATTTTTAAAATTTATGAGCATATTATTTATATTATTATCAATATATGAATCACTGACCATTGCATTAATGCAAACATCACATCGTACCTTTTTTTCTTTAATAAGTTGTTGTACTATATATCCCGAAATATAAGTTGTTACATTATCTAAATATAATGATAATTTTGGGATATGAGGATTTGTTTGGCTAAAATAATAAGATAATGCCTGGGGTATTATTGGATTTGAAATAGTTTTGATAGAATTAAAATCATCGTCATGATTATTTTGAAAATTTGAACATATTAATTGAGTATTATCTAAGGAAATGCAATTTCCTGTAATTGTAGCATCCAATTTTGCCATTAAGGAAATGCGAACAGCAGATCGAACCTGATATGCTGATGGATTATCATTAAATCCACCTCTGCTACGAATACTACAAAAATATAATTCTAGGTGGTCTTGAGAGGTTTTATATGTTAAAAAGAACCTTAAAAAATTGTTATATTATAGCTTTATGAATAACTCTTGTTATAAATTAAATATAATACTTCATTTTTGGGGTTTCCCCAGTTAATAATTCCTTCCCCATTTCCAGGATGCTTTTCATAGAAAGAATTAACCCTTCTACACATGTTTTTTTATTAGACTTATAGACATAAGTTCCATTTGTTAACTTGAGTGATTTTAAAGTTTTAATGCACTTGTCAAAATGATTTTCATAATCTGCAATTGTATTATTATATAAAGGGGCTTTATATCCTTTACCAAGACAATTTCTTGTATTAAGATAATCAAACATTCTATAAGTTATTCATAAATTTATATCATAATTTTTATTTTACTGATCTATCATCAATATAAAATTAATTGTACCATCACAATTTTCAAATCCAGGAATCTCCTGATGCTGGGCAAAAAGAAGGCTATTTGCAACAGATGCACTAAAAACTTGAACAGCAAGTTTTACCTTAAAAAATATTTAATAATTATATATTTATTATCAAACTTTCATTTTTTGTTTTTGGAAAGCAATATGTGCTTTGCGCAATTTATTTGCAGCACGTAAACCTTCGCACTCCTGCAATTTGTGTAAATTTTGTATATGCTTCCAATCTATTAACTATAAATACAAAATAAATATTTAACCAAATTTAGCTAGCTACCTCTCCATTTGATTCATTTATTAAAATTTCCTCCTCCGCTAATAGATTTCTAAGTAATTTGAGCATATGACAAACATCTAGTAACATGTATATTTTTTCTGATTCATAAAATTCCAGCTCAATATATGGAATGATATTATCAGGATCCATACTAACACCAAGCAGTTTGCTCATTTTTTTATTAACAGCACAACCATCACATACTATGGCCTTACAGATAACTCCTGTTTCATTTATATTGAACAATGCAACTCTCACTAAATTAGCTAGGATATCTGAATTCATTTGTGAAACTAGAAAATAGGCTATTGGCATTTTCCAGCTGCTATTAAGACATGTAGCCATAAGAAACAGTGCCTTTGTTGCTTCTGGACAAGATTTATCTTCCTTTGTTGATTTTGTCCCATCACCTAAATCAACATAACCATGATATTCTGCTTTGTGGGGGTCATAATCTATTTGTGTTTTAATATGCATTTCATCAAGGCTAAGTACACAATATAACTGCTTTTCTGATTTTTTTTGGTAGCTTTTAATTTGGGTAAATGAAATAGAAAGGAAACCTTTATTTAATTTAATTTATTTTTTTTAAAATTATTATAATAAACCTGGCATGATTTCAATCTTGCTACTCCATGCCCTTAATGTGGATTCCGAAGGCATACAAAAGTGTGATTTGAGATATCTGTAAGCCTTAGGTGAATAAAAATGCATAGTCAATGCAAATTGACGGAATTCACTTGTATATATTTTTTTTTGTGGGTTTGAGATGCCTCCACTGTGTATATGTGTTTTAAGGAATATAGCAGATGTCCCTGTAAAGTGCCTGTCTATAATATTTTCGACATCATCTGATAACAAATTTTCATCTTTTAGTGAAGTGATTATTGTTTGTAAATTGATTATTTTATTTTTTCCTCTTTTTGAGCTCCTATAATAAGCATGTGCTCTTTTTTTAAGCGTTTAATTATAGCCTCTTGGTAAATAATTTTTCTTTTTAATGTTTCATATGTCGCGGAATAATTATGATCATTTGTTATATGTATAATTGGATCTTTTTCATATAATATATCACTTTTTAATGGTGTTTGTATATTTGAATAAACATTCGTTATCTAAAAAGTATATATTTTAAAATATTGTTTTAACTATGTAATGATATTGTTAACATACATCATGAAGTGGCTTAGATATACTAAATATCGATGGAATAGAATCTTCCTTCAATAAAATCTTTCCAGATATAGTTTGAATGAAACAAGTATTTTTAAAATGCCTTCCACAAATAATACTATATTTATTAGGCATAAAATTTTTTCTATTTATAGCATGTAACCATTTTTCCAATAATTCTTTGGATTTTAATGGAAATCTATATTTAAAAATAGGTGAATAATAATGAGTAAAATATAAGATATATTTATGACATTGATACAAAGATAGATAGTATATAACAATCAATATTAATATCAGATCAGTTATTAGTAATATAGTATTGAATCAGTGAAAATTTGTTGATTGGCAGAGCCTCTATTAATATATATATGGTTTACATATTTCTTACAAATATTTAAAAATGAAACTGTATCATAGTAAATATGTATTTTAAAAATGGCTAACTTAATATTTTATCCAGAAAAATATTTAGGCAAAGTTCAAAATAGAAATCTTATCAACTCAAGAGGAAGAAGCATTATTTGTCCTAGCAGTAAAAATGAGAAAACTTTATATTTTTACTAAATAAGGATTTTTTTTTCAATGTTTGTAGCTTATTAATGCTTTATGTAATAAATATGTTGCATATAAAAAATAATATATATACTTATGATAAGAAATATGTGTATTAGATTCCATTTTATTTGTTTTATTACAATTATGAACACAGCACACTCCCATTATCTAAATAAAATAATAAATGATAGTGATATTAAAAGATCTGTTTTGCATGTATCCTAAGATGCATTAACATAAGATTTATAAATCCGTGCAGAATTAAGTTAAACTATATTTTAAAAAATTAAAAGGTGGGTTAGTCTTAGATTCATTTTTTAAATATAATCACCTAGTCCACATTCATAAAAAAAGTCTTAACTATAAAATATTATATCATAAATCGAAACCTTTAAAACTAAATTATCGTAGTAGACTTGTTTTCTATATATTAATATTTCTTGCTGACAAATAATGGATAACCAAACTACAAAATGGCGCTACAGCTGATTACAATGTGTGGACACTTTTATAATGCATTGAATGAATGAATCGTCAATCTATAGTTATATATATCATTGGTGTACACATATTTATATAATGAATACAAATTTAATTTTTTTATTGTGATTGATTAGCAACAGTTATGTTAATAAATTTGAAAAATACAATTTGATAAATAATAATCGTTTATGAAAAATAAAGCAGTTTGTTAATATAAGCATTCAAAATTATCATTGTCCTTTAATGAGAGTCTTAGTATGGATCCAATCATTAAAATCTTGATTCGTTTCTTTATAATAGGGTAATTTTTTCATTACATCAATCCATGCTTGAATTTTTGGGTAATTTGCAAAATTATATTTTGACATCCATAAAAATGAAACATTACAAAATATTGAAATGTCAGCTATTGTCATTTGATCTCCTATAATATATTTTATATTTCGATATATTATTACTAATAACCTGCAATGTATTTGCTCTGACTCAATAATAATTCTAAATTATCTAAAGCTTCTTTCATGTCCTTTTCCCTTTCAGGATTCGAAGGCTTATTGTGCATAACTTGAGGGTACTATAATAAACTATTGAAATTATTATTTAAAAAGTTATAACAGCATATTCTTTCAAAGCTGGCCAAAATTTTCCTATATCAAAATCTAATCTGCTATCAACCAAAGCTCGTTTTTTTGCATCTTTTGGGTATAAAGGATCACCACATTTATTGGCAAGATATTTCATAATTGCACGACTAGCAAAAAAAGAAAAATTACAACAAATAATTGCCAAAATACCTTTCACAAATAATAAATCCATTATCATCAATTGTAGGCACAGTATGGAGTGGATTTATCTTAATTTTAATTAAAATTTAAATATTAAATAAAATTTACCTTCTTATATTCAGGTGTGTTTTGTTCTCCTTTCTCTAAATCAATAGCAACAATCTCAAGAGGCATATTCAAAGCCTTTGCAGTCATCCATACAGCTCTTCCTGCACACTGCTGTGTTCTTGACATAACATATAATTTTACAGTTTGAGACATTTTTAAATTTTAAAAATAATTTAATCTTGCAAATTCACACAAAATTGTGCTTTATATTTGAATTTTAATTGTATTCTAAAATTATTATTATCTATAATTTAATAAATTTAATTAAAATGCAATTTTATCTTTAAATAAAATATAATTGTGATGGTAAATGTCCTTGGTATTAAGATATAATTCTATTGTTAATCAAAAAATAGGAATCGTAAATAGCCTTTATTAAAATGTAATTTTATTTTAATCAAGATATAATTAAACATCCATTGTTTAGTGGCCACATGTGTTTTATTACAATTTTGTTGTAAAATACTCAAAAATTTTATATTACAATTTAAAATCCTTTACGTAAAATTAATTAGTCCAAATAATTCTAATTATATTTAAGACAGATATCCTTTAAGAAATTAATTAAAATTTCATATTTCATAAATATATTTACGATATATTTCGTTAACAAATAATTTCTATATGCAAAACCATTAATATGGGTGAAATGACAATGCTAGTAAAGCCTTGTAGGTAAATGTTTTATAGCAACCTCATTTTTATTGAGGCTTTGCTCCCATATCCCTTGTTTGCTCACTTTTGCATATCCTACATAATAATATTAAACATTTTTTTTCTTCTATTTCTTATATTTTTGGACAAAAACATGTTTAAAATGATAGGTTAAATACTATATTACAGTTATCACATTTTTATTAGAAAAAAGGCCCATACGGAATTGTTATCACATATTTTATTTTAAGAATTGCATATATAAAATTATTTCATATAATTGCTTTCTATAGTGGGGTAGGGGGGGGCTTCCTCCTTTGGCAAAATTTAATTTTTAAAAAATGTGAAGTTATATTCTGAAGTTTTGGGGCTTCAGTTACTGGTAAAATAGAAGGTGACATTTTGGTCATGTGATTTGGTATGTATCATTTTAGATTATTAAAAGAAACTACTTAACACTTATATTTTAAATTTAAATTAAAAAAGTAAAAACAAAGATTTATTCTCTAAAATAATATTTTCCAACATAAAAAAAGTACAAAAATTAATTCCTTTTATAGGGAAAATAAAACGTGCGAATTAAAATAAAATTGGCTCTAAGTGAAAAAAAAGGAACGTTTTTTGCGAAAAGGAGCTGTGTTAGTTTTATCTTACATAATTGGGGATAAAACCTACCCCCACCGCCATACTTTTCGAAACTCAAATTATACTTCTGAATGCAGGGCTATCTCCCGGACCTATATATCTAACTTATATTGGCTGAACATTTTACTAAGGATTCCAAAGGTAAGAAAAAACCCCTAAGTAAAAGAAAACACAAATATGTTTTACTTTTAACTTAACTCAAAACAAATGAGAGACCAAAAAAAAAATTTATTAAATTTTTATGTACTTACAAAACAAAAGAGGGGTGTATAAAGAAACTATTTAAAGTTTAAGTGTATTAGATTAAAATAACATATTCTGTTCTAAATATTAGTGAAATGTTAAAATTGATTTAAATAATATTTTTCTTTTACACAACAAATTTATACAATAATTTTTCAAAAAAAGTAATGATATGGATATGGCTGAAATTATGAAATTCGTGAATAATTGTATTATAACTAAGAGAATATATTGATCAAGAATTTTTTGAGGTTTATGTCATTTTTGAGACAAAAGCAAAATGACTTTGAAATTTGTTTGCCTCAACTCTCACTGACAATCAAATCGGTACAATATTAACGTTGACTCAATTGAATATCATCATAAAATAACCCATTGATTCCTCTCAATGAACAATTTGTGATTCATGAAATGGTGTAACCAATTTACAAATACCATGTCTTATAAACTCCTTCTGATCTGAGCATACATTAAATCTTGATTATTGAAAAAATTAAGTATTTAGCTAAATTTTATTCAAAGGATATAAATTAATCCGAAGTAAAATTAATTTTTTGGTTTATTTAAGCATGGACAAGATACAGAGATGGAAGCTGAGGTAAATGAGTTGTCTGAATTTATGATCGGACAGACATTGTGAGCCAGAATATTTGGAGGAACCAGGAAATGGGTGATAATAGATTGGAATTATGTTGAGTGAAGTTTACCAGAAGGAAAGTTAGCCAAGGACCAGATACAAAAAGATGTAGAATTCGGAAGATAGAGATCGTTCCTGCCTGGGTATTGTGAGGGGTAATGACTTTAAATCGTCGTAAGTATTCAAGAGTTTTAAAAATTATATTTAGTAAAAATCTAATTGAGCGACCAAACCAAAAACCTAACATATTGCTGCAAGCTAAGAATATGGTAATGATCAGCACAGGTACCAGTGGCAGCTAGCCTTTACAATTCCAGGGGGCTCAACCAAAAATTGGGCGTCACCTTCCTTACCCCTTTGATAATTATTGTGCATACACACTAATACTAACCTATAAATGATGAAAGTAAACTAATACAAGGCTTTTGGCCCACAAGCCCCATCCGATATTTTAAAAAAATTTTAACCCACCAACCCAACCCACTCATAGTGATTAAAAAAATATACCCGCTCACCCATGAGCCTAAAATTCTTTATCCCCTCGCCCCCTCCCCACCTGTCCATTAGTCTAAAAATTCTTTATCCGTCAGCCTATTCAATTTTTTCGACCCATTGCCGCCCATAAAATGTAAATAAACTCATAATTTTTTTTTTTTCAAATCTAATTTTTAAAAAAATGATTCAGTTTCAGCAGCGCTAACGCCTACAAAAATGTTTTATAATTTAGGAAATTGCCATATTTAACAAAAAAAAGTATTCAATTTTAAAATACGGATAAGGAATTTATTTGATTAAAAGATCCATGTATAATTCTCCTTTGTAACAGCCAAATCCTTCCATCAGTTGTTGTTTAATTTTGTCGTGGATACTAACAATTTCAAACATTGCATTTATAATTTAATACCTTTAATTGAATTCTCTTCGCTTTTGGAGAAACGGGTAAAATCAGATTTTCATCCAGGTTGATGATATATTCTTGCACGCAAAAGCAAATACAGTTTTACGACATCAACACATCCTCTGATATCGATTGGTATCGTTGAAATTTATTGGAGCATTTTTTTTAAACGTTTACATATTTTAAATAACAAATAAAAGTTGCAAATTTTTTAACCCGCTCGCCCGCCCGCCCACTTAGATGAACGGGCCGGATAAATACCCGCTAAATGCAGACCTCTAGCCTGGATTCGACATTTGGCGCAACCATTAATTATATGAATCATTTAGGCGACATAATTATAATATAACTCAAATAGTATTAGAATTGGAAAATGATTATGGCTTATTGGCCAAAAATAGAAGATCAAATAAAAAGCTGTGTTGAGTTTTTATAAAAATGTAAAGGTACCAAGGGAAATTTCCTTTGGCAATATATATGCATGGACATTATGGACTTTTCTATTATAAGCTTAGACACTTAAATTTTATGATTTCTTGTCCATATTTATATTAATCATGTTAAAAATTTTTGGACACAGTAGAGATTTCATATAAAAAGGCTAATATCTGGATAATTTTTTATTTATGAGTGTATTTGTTTTAAAAATATATATTGATATTTTATGATTATATATAGATATATAAATGGTATTATAAAAATATTATTATTATTATAACGATTAAAATATGTTATATATATAAAATTTAAGCCATTTTGTGATAGTTCTTCTGGAGAAATAAACCACAGAATTTGATGTCAATTATTTGCAATTTATCTTTCAGCTTGTTGAAACGACAACATATAATTATTGGTTGGTTCATACATCTCTCCTTTCCACTTTTGTTGGGTCACACACAATTCCTTAGAAGTTTAGTGGGAAATTGATGGTCTTCATTTTTTTTTGTGTGACTTAAAAGGATTATCTTGGCTCCTCTACAATTTTATGGGTTATTGTGAAGACAGGAAAGATAAAAAAAAAGGTCATAAAAAGTATTTAATATCTAAGATACTCTTATTTAGCAAAAGATACAGTATATTTAACTTTTTTCATATTTTAAATAAAATATTTGTATCAAACAATCTGTATCTAAATTCTACTTTTAGGGACCTTCCTAACTTTCTAGGTATAAGAGCATGAACAAAAATTATTACTAATAGAAAATCATCTGTTCTATGTGCTTATATTATGTAACAGAAGATAATAATTAATTGCCTTAATTAATCGTTATTTTCACTCTAAAACGACTAATTTATAACTGATCAAAAATATATTCTGATATCAAATCAAGATGAGAAATTTGATAAATACATGTAGATACAGATGAAAAAATGTAAGTCCTAAAAAAATTATGATGGATCTTAATTGTTTATATTTTTAAAATAAATTTATATGACAACAACTTCATAGCATAACGATGATAATATTAAAAATTTAGATGGTTTTTACTAATTTAATTTTGTAAGCCACTTATTAATGCAATCCTGCAAGACAAAGATAAAAGGTATAAAATCGAAATTTTGTTATTATGGTAATGTTTTAAACATATCTATAAATACGAAGTTTATATTTTAAGCAATAAATCATCCTCTATTAATATCAAGATTGTTCCTGGTAAAATTAAATGTCAATGAAGGACGGAAATTGGATCTTATTTCCTGTTTGAGAAAAGATATTGACAAAAAAAAGACAGACTTGATTCCTTTTAAAAACAACACACCGTACACAGATTATTCTGATGAAGATTTTTTTTAAAAAAATAAAATTGGATGAGAATCTGAATGAAGATTCTTTTGAAGATTGAAACTCTATTCAAAATAAAGATTATTCTTATATTTTTACAAATTCTCCGAATTATATATTTTTTTATTTGTCAAGTACAATACAACCCTCCCATCCTCTGAGCCAGCTGAACGCGTGTTTAGCACAAAGAAATATCTGTCGAGCGCTGCTCTTGTTTATCCGATTATAATAAAAACATTTAATTGTTAAATCCCCCCCCCCCACCTCCTCCTCAATAAATTTATCCTAGCCCCTAAATATTTGGAAGCAAGAGGCTCATAACTCCCCCCCCCCCCCTTCCTTTCATAGTATATAATTTTAGAAGTTCTGACATCTGTTTAAGATTTATAAAAAATAAAAAATATTCTCGCAAATTTGCAAAAAAGATTGTGCTTGATGGTAAATGTCCTTGGCATTAAAATTTAATCCTATTATATTGTTAATGAAAAAAAAATTATTAAATTGTATAAATGACACTTTGTATTAAAATGTAATTTTTAGGGATGCACCTAAATTTTTTATTTATCGGTTCTTCTTTTTTCAAATATCGGTTACCGGCCGATATTATAAAATTTACCGATCTGATAAAATGGGGTCGTAGTTTGTTAGTTAGTTGTACGTTATATTTTTAGCAGCTGAGGCTTAACCGAACTGGATTAAGGTTTCAGATCTGACATATGACTTATTAAATTGATTTATCAATAAAAAAAATTTTTTTTTTATATCCTGTGAAATGATTATCACATATTATATTTTAAGAATTGCACATATAAAATTATTTACATATATTGCCTTCTATTGTGAGAAGGGGGGGGGGCTTCCTTATTTGGAAAAAAAAAATGATGCTAAATATTAGCAAAATATTAAAATTGATTTAAATATATTTTTCTTTTACACAACAAATTTATACAATAATTTTTCACAAATTGATTTGGATTAGGTTGAAATTATGAAAATCGTGAATATTATAATATAATAACTAAGAAAACTAAGAGATAATATTGATCAAGAATTTTTCTAGGGCTTATTTGAACTTTGAGGCAAAAGCGAAATGAATTTGAGATTTATTAGCCTCAACCTGACGATCAAATCGTTACAATATTAACGTTGACTCAATTGAATATCATCATAAAATAACCGTTTGATTCAACTCAATGAATAATTTGTGATTCATAAAATGGGTCTAACCAATTTACATATACTATGTCTTTTAAACTCCTTCTGATCTAAGCATATATTAAATCTTGATTTGAAAAAAATTAAATATTTAGAGGAATTTTATTCAAAGAATATGAATTAATCTGAAGGTTAGCTACTTTTTTGGAATTTATTGAAGAGGCCAGATACAGAGTCGAAATCTAAAGTGATTGAGTTGTCTGAATTTATGATGGCACAGACATTCTCAACCTGAATATTACCAGGAAATGGATGTCAAGGGTGATATTAGACAATTGGACAGAAATTATGTTGGGTGAAGTTTATCAGAAGGAAAAGAGCTAGCCACCAGGGCCAAATACGAAAAGATTTTGAATTTGGAAGATAGAGATCGATCTAGGGTATTTGAGGGGTAATGACTTTAAACCATTGTAAGTATTCAAGAGTTTGAATTATATTTAGTGAAAATCTAACCAGTGATTAGATATGAATAATATTAATATTATTGCAAGTTATGAATAAGGTTATGATCAGCACAGGTGCCATGGGTGGCACTAGCCGTGATGATCCCAGGCGGCTCAAATAAAAATTTATAGGAGGGGGAGGGGCTTTACCTCACATACCCCCTATTTTACGGCGCTTCGTTTAACTTTTCCTCGGTCTTTGGTTTATATTTTTTTAAAAAAAGATATATTATACTTTTTAAATTGAAATTTGTAAACCCTGAACTAGTATTTGAAAGTTTCTGTTATTTAATTTGCATACATACAAAATATTAGCATATAAATAATGAAAGTAAAACAATACAAAGGCACAGTCACAATTTTTACAGACATTATATTACCATTTTTAACCTTATAATTGTTGTAATATGTGCTTTAATTTCAAATCTACTTTTAAACAAAATCAAGAAAAACGAAGTCATATTCAAATCTACTTTTAAACAGAAAAATGAAACGAATTATAATATTATTTGTGTTCAGACGATGTAAATGAATATTATAGAAAAGGATATATAATTGAGGATATTTTTACTTGTTACGATTTTATGTTTTATTGCACAAATTTTTTATCTTTTAATTTTAATTCTTTTTTAATTTTTCTCTTATAATTTTTACTTTTATATGATAATAATAATTAGTATTTATAGTTTATGGTTATGAATAAAATTTTAAAATATTAAACTACAACTTCTCAACCACAACAATAATGAATGACTAGAGATAAATTGAATCAAATATATAAATAAGGGACATACAGGCCTGGCCCTTGTATTTTAATATTTTAAATATACCTGGCCTGGGTCAAAATTTATTTTTAAGATACCCGAGTCAGGTTGGGCCTATTTTTAAAAAAATACCCAGGCCGTATTAAATATTTTTTATAAAAAATACGGGCCGGGCCCTGAAAATCTAAAACCATATCCGGGCCTAAATTTTTAAAAATATCCGGGACATGCAAATGTTATCTCTGCTGGTCTCTGATATAAATATTTTACATACAGTATTGTATATGACACATCAAAATATATTATGACTCATCGTGATCCAACTATGAAGTGGCACGAAGGAGCAAATCTTGAGCGTTACTAGAAAAGAAACCACCCTCTAAGAACTTAATAACAATTTATCACAAATAAAATAACACATATAATTCTAATGTATGTTTTTGTATACAAAAGTGTTCAAGCGGTTTTTAGAAGTTTGAACCGAACCGATGTTTTTTACGAACCGACTCTTGAACTGTTAATTTTATCTAAACCGTGAACCGATATTCTATTCAAAAATTGATCGTTCTTTTTGCTACTAAACCACATTTATAACATTTAAGTATATTATAATCTATATCGTTATTATATTTGTATTTATTATTCTCTTTATCAAATGTATTATTATACTTGACTTTAATATAGTATTATTTCTTTTGTTATTATCATATATCTTATTAACAACAGGCATATTTTTATTTGCCATTTCTTTATCTGCTCGCTCAGAAGCTAATGCCAGATCAAAAATAAATTGGAAAGTCAATACATTATTATCTCTTTCAAGACCGTCGGGATATAGAGCTCTAATATCTCTTTCCAATCCCGGTATTTCCATGCCAACCATAAACTGAGCACGTTAACGCTCGTCAATATCATTAAGATAATGACAACGCTGGCCAATTGTTCTAATTTAATTTGCAAATTCAGTTATGGTTTCAGTTGTTCTTCGTAATTTAACGAAATCAAATCTAGAAGCAAAAACTGTTGACGTCGGTTTTAATAATTTAAAACATATTGACTTAATTTCCTTAAAAGATAAAGTTTCGATCGAATCAGGATAAAAAATGGTCCACACTCAATATTCTTATTACCAAAAAATGTTAAAAATATATCTCTATATTGACATTCAGATGGGATTACGTTTTTTAACCGAAAACTGGCTTTCCTTGAGAAAAATATCTAGAAATTGAAGTATCGTTATCGAATTTATCAAATTTAATCTTAGAAAAATCCGCCAATTTTTTCGAATCTCCATTTAAGGAATTATTTTCTCCATTCGTCGCCATTTATAATAAAACGACTACGACTACTTATTAGTTATTTTTATTTTAAAATAATCACATCAAATTTATTAATTAATTAATTCGAATGTTCCATTCAATTTTTTATATAATATATATAAATATTTTAAAATAATTTATTACAACACGTACAGATTATTCTGATAATGATTAAAAAGAAATTGGATGAGGAACTGAATGAAGATTCTTTTGAAGATGAACTAAGCTTTTTTAAAAAATAAAGATTATTCATTAATTTTTATAAATTTGCTTAATACAACCCTCCCATCCTCTGCCCCCGTTAAATGTGTGTTTAGCACAGTGAAAGCTGATTGAGAACTGTTATTGGTTACCTGATCCAAATTTTAAAAATCAATTCTTGTTAAAAATAAATAAAAAATTATTACAAAAATATTTTATTGATAACCCTTGCAGCCAAATATATGCATCCTGCCCTCTAAATATTTGAAGCAAGATGCTCATAACACCCCTCCCCCAACAAGTAACCGCTGTACCTGACCTATAAAAATATTTTGTAAATTTTGTGTGTCCCATATATCTTTTTGTTTTAGGTTGCTGTACCAATCTCTACTACTAATAAAATTAATAGAAAAGAGATATCAATGAAACTCACTGAACTAAATATATTATCGATCTTTAGATGTATCCTGGTTCCAAGTATCTTCAAAATTCTTTTTTATAAAATATAAACCTACTAAAAATAAAATATAAGTTACTTGTTAGTTATATAAATAAATTAATTTTATTTTGTTTGAATTAAATTATACAAAATTTGTAGAGTTCTGGTTAATGAAATATCAACAACTCAAATAAATTACATTCAAATCAGATATAAATGTATTTAACCAAGATTCTCTTAAGGATTTAAAATGTCATATTAAATTAGTGTACACATATTTATATAATGAATACAAATTTAAATTTTTTATTGTGATTAGCAACAGTTATGTTAATAAATTTGAAAAAGACAATTTGATAAATAATAATTGTTAATGAAAAATAAAGCAGTTTGTTAATATAAGCAATCAAAATTATCATTGTCCTTTAATGAGAGTCTTAGTACGTATCCAATCATTAAAATCTTGATTCGTTTCTTTATAATATGGTAATTTTTTCATTACATCAATCCATGCTTGAATTTTTGGGTATTTTGCAAAATTATATTTTGACATCCATAAAAATGAAACATTACAAAATTGAAATGTCAGCTATTGTCATTTGATCTCCTATAATATATTTTATATTTCGGTATATAATTACTAATAACCTGCAATGTATTTGCTCTGACTCAATAATAATTCTAAATTATCTAAAACTTCATGCATGTCCTTTTCCCTTTCAGGATTCGAAGGCTTATTGTGCATAACTTGAGGGTACTATAATAAACTATTGAAATTATTATTTAAAAAGTTCAAACCGCATATTCTTTCAAAGCTGGCCAAAATCTTCCTATAAAAAATCTAATCTGCTATCAACCAAAGCTCGTTTTTTTTCATCTTTTGGGTATAAAGGATCACCACATTTATTGGCAAGATATTTCATAATTGCACGACTAGCAAAAAAACAATAATTACAACAAATAATTGCCAAAATACCTTTCACAAATAATAAATCCATTATCATCAATTGTAGGCACAGTATGGAGTGGATTTATCTTAATTTTAATTTTAATTAAAATTTAAATATTAAATAAAATTTACCTTCTTATATTCAGGTGTGTTTTGTTCTCCTTTCTGTAAATCAATATCAACAATCTCATGAGGCATATTCAAAGCCTTTGTAGTCATCCATACAGCTCTTCCTGCACACTCCTGTGTTCCTTTCATAATATATAATTTTACAGGTTGAGACATTTTTAAATTTTAAAAATAATATAATCTTGCAAATTTACACGAAATTGTGCTTTATATTTTAATTGTATTCTAAAATTATTATTATCTACAATTTAATAAATTTAATTAAAATGCAATTTTATCTATAAATAAAATATAAATGTGATGGTAAATGTCCTTGGTATTAAGATATAATTCTGTTGTTAATCAAAAAATAGGAATCGTAGTCTTTATATTAAAATGTAATTTTATTTTTAATCAAGATATAATAGTTATATTAAACATCCATTGTTTAGTGGCCGCATGTGTTTTATTACAATTTTGTTGTAAAATACTCAAAAATTTTATATTACAATTTAAAATCCTTTACGTAAATTAATTAGTCCAAATAGTAATTAGATTTAAGACAGATATCCTTTTAGAAATTAATTAAAATTTCACCATATATTTTGTTAAACAAATAATTTCTATAAGCCATTAATATGGGTGAAATGGCAATGCTAGTATAGCCTTGTGAGTAAATGTTTTATAGCAACCTCATTTTTACTGAGGCCTTGCCCTACTCCTTGTTTGCTCACTTTTGCATATCATACATAATAATATCAAACATATTTTTTTTTACTATTTCTTATATTTTTGGACAAAAACATGTTTAAAATGATAAGTTAAATACTATATTACAGTTATCACATTTTTATTAGGAAAAAGGTTCATACAAAATTGTTATCACATATTTTATTTTAAGAATTGCACATATTAAATTATTTCATATAATTGCTTTCTATAGTGGGAGAGGCTTCCTCCTTTGGCTAAAAATAATTTTTAAAAAATGTGAGGTTATATTCTGAAGTTGTGGGCCTTCAGTTACTGGTAAAATATAAGGTGACACTTTGGTCATGTGATTTGGTATGTGTCATTTTAGATTATTAAAAGAAACTACTTAACACTTATATTTTAAATTTAAATTACTATAAGTCAAAAAAGTAAAAACAAAGATTTATTCTCTAATTCATAGAATATAAATTAATCTGAAGGCCAGCTACATTTTTGGAATATATTTAAGAGGCCAGATACAGAGATGAGAATCTTAGGTAAATGAGTTGTCTGAATTTATGATGGCACAGACATTCTCAACCTGAATATTTGGTGTTAAAGTATCTAGATACAAGTGTTTAGATACTGTAACTAGAACCTGAAATTTTGTTTACCACTCTTAAATGCCTTACTTAAAGGATTTGAAGATAGGTAAATTAATCAGTATTTAATAATTCTAGGTTTATTAGGACAATTTTTGAAGATGAAAATATTTTGGCAACTATGCTTCATCCTTTTTTTAAACTAGATTGGACATGGTTGCAAATGGATGAAAATTTTAATTAAAAAAAACAATTAATACAAAGATTAGTTGAGGAATTATCAAAGTCTTCAAATGAGTGCAAATTAGCCTGTAAAAAAAACCAATAATTTAATATCCGATATTTTTCAGTATCCCACAGCAGGAGATATGATTGTTAATGATTTAAATTCTGATAATCAACAAATTTTAAATAGTTCTTTCAAAAATGAATGCCGAGATTTTAGTATTTTTAAACAATATCCTGATATAAAAATGTTATTCATTAAATATAAAACCACAATCCCTTCCAGCGCTCCTGTTGAAAGACTTTAGTATAGCTAAAAATGTCTTTACAGATAAACGAGGATGTCTTAAACCAAAATTTTGAAAATATTTTACTGAAATCTAATAATTATTTATAATCATTTAATCATATATTATATTATTTTATTAATGATATATAATAATTATTTTTATTAATCATATATTATTAATATCTAAAAATCATTATTTTAGTTATATTTTGATAAATGTGATATCGAGTCAATAAATTTTTCAGATAATTTCATAAATTTTCACAATAGAATCCTAATTTAGGTTTATTCAAACCTTATCTAAGAGTATAATAAAAAATGTATCTGTACCTAGATACATTTTAAATTGTATCTGTATCTAGATAACTTTTTAGAAACTGTATTTGTATCTAGATAAATTTTTAGACTATGTATCTGTATCTAGATCTATTTAAAAAGCATCTTTTAACCACTCTGATTTGGAGGAACCAGGAAATGGGTGTGAAGGGATAATTGACAATTGGACAGAAATTATGTTGGATGAAGTTTATCAGAAGGAAAGGAGCTAGCCACCAGAGCCATATACGAAAAGATTTACAAGATAGAGATCGATCTAGGGAATTGTTTAGGGTAATGACTTTAAACCATTGTAAGTATTCATTTGAAATTATATTTAGTAAAAATCTAACCAAAGATTAGATATGGATAATATTAATATTAGTGCAAGTTATGAATAAGGTTATGATCAGCACAGGTGCCATGGGTGGCACTAGGCTAGATAATCACAGGTGGCTCAAATAAAATTTTATAGGGGGGCTTTACCTCACATAATCCCCTATTTTGCGGCACTTCGTTCCACTTTTCTCGGTCTTTGGTTTATGTTTTTTTTTTTAAAAATATATATTATACTTTTTAAATTGAAATGTGTAAACCCTGAACTAGTTATTTGTAAGTTTCTTTGTTATTTATTTTCCATACATACAAATTACTAACATACAAATAATGAAATTAAAACAATACAAAGGCACAGTCATAATTTTTATAGACATTATAGTACCATTTTTAACCTTATAAGTTGTAATATGTGCTTTAATATTCAAATATACTTTTAAACAAAATCAAGAAAAACGAAGTAATATTCAAATCTACTTTTAAACAGAAAAATGAAACGAATTATTATATTATTTGTGTTCAGACAGACGATGTAAATTAATATTATAGAAAAGTATATATAATTGAGGATATTTTTACTTGTTACGATTTTATGATTTTTCGCACATAATTTTTAATCTTTTAATTTTTCTCTTATAATTTTTACTTTTATTTGATAATAATAATTAGTATTTATAGTTTATGAATAAAATTTTAAAATATTAAACTACAACTTCTCAACCACAACAATAATGAATGACTAGAGATAAATTGAATCAAATATATAAATAAGAGACATGCAGGCCTGGCCCTTGTATTTTAATTTTTTAAATATACCTGGCCTGGGCCAAAAATTTATTTTTAAGATACCCGAGTCAGGTTGGGCCTATTTTTAAAAAAATACCCAAGCCCAGGCCGTATATTTTAAATCCTCATTGACTATAAAAATTATATTATTTTTATAAAAAATCCGGGCCGGGCCTGAAAATGTAAAACCATATCCTGGCCTAAATTTTAAAAAATATCAGGGACGTGCGAATGTTATCTCTGCTGGTCTCTGATATAAATATTTTACATACAGTATTATATATGACACATCAAAATATATTATGACTCATCGTGATCTAACTATGAAGTAATTACCATAAGAAACAATCAGTTAATGAAATGGGCTTTGCCCACCATGCCTCATTAATAGAAGTGGTATCTAATAATTCGTAGTACTACTTCCTCAGAAAGAAATTGGTCGATTTGGGTTAGTACTCTCGCTGAAACATAAATCGATATTAAAGAAAATGATTATAAGATATGAATAGGAACAAGACTCTGCCATGGAGAGCAAAATATTAGTTATTGAATGACATTACATTTAAAATCATGTTATAAAATTACTAATATAGATTTAAATATTGTATACAGAATTAAAGTTAATATTGTCTTAAAAACATTTATTCAAATTGAACGGTCAAAAACGCAAATATCTTTGAAGGTATTTAACCTAAAAGCCGAAATTAAATATAAAATTCTTAAATAAAAAAAAAAGATTATATTCTTTTATTTATAAAGAGAAAATTTTCATATATAATACAAAATAAAATTATACAAAATATAAACATAATTCACAATGCGACTGGATGTCCTAGGTAGAGGAAATGCCTAAAAATAATTTGAATAATGACTTGGATAGAAATTTGATTCAACCAATATAAATATAAAACACATATTAAGAAGGTTATATTTGTACAAAACCTGGGTATAAAAAGAATCGGATAACAACCAAGAGTTTAAAATGCGATCTTAAGAAGACGAGAATCATAGATATTGGGTGGGACGTGAAGCTCCCCATAAAAGATTTATAATTTCAAAATAATAATGCTTGCAAGTCTTTCCTAAGATGGATATTTTATTTTTACGAGATGTTATTTTTTTCTTCTTCTAATCTAGCAATTTAAATGGTTTATTATCAAAGGGTTATTATCTTAATCAATTGCAAAAATTAAATAGTACATTTATTTTTTTTTAATGGTTGAATATTTTTATTGCAAGTTACACGAGAGGGAATCAATATAAACGTGGAACTTGGCGAAGCACCGAGGAAATGGATTTCGGGAACGGGCCAATCAAATTATAGATGGGGTTTTATGGGCCGGATAGCTAAAAAATTTCCACCAATCCCATGTCGATCTCGGATACAAATATTTATCATCCGCAAAATTAATTATTCGTAAATATAGATATAAAACGCGAACGTTGAATTTAAATAAAATTTTTCTATTAATTTGATTTCGATCAAGTGATACACCATGATTAGAATTGTATAATGTTAATAATATATGTCATGTCAGTATATAAAATATTTAAAATTAGGCTTGAAATGATTTCTTTGTTATTTTAAGTACAATGAGATTTCTGTGAATATAATTTGATTTGTAACTATAATTTAAATATAAATATTATGTATATAAAAATAATAAATACAGTTATTCGAGATTTTTAACTTGATGTGACCAGTAAATGTATCATGATACATTTAAACTGATCATCTTCAAGAACAGATACTCTCCTTTTTTTTTTCTTTTAAAAGAAGTCTAAAAAGGTAATGGATTCTAGTTCTATATCTTCAAATTTTTCGAATAATCCGTGTATGAATTTCAGCGAATTTTGGTCTCTGAAAAAAGAATTTTCGGTATAAACTGAAACCGAGAGGGGAGTCTGAGCTATCAAGCGTATGTAATGATGCAATAAATGTTGTCTAATTTGATATATAATTTTTAATTAAAAAAAAATATATAAAATTAATTTAAAATCATCAATGAAAAAAAAAGGTAGAGTGTAATTGAGATAAGCCTATTTCAGTATAGTTTACAAAAAAATAGTGGTTATAATATCTTAATCCATATTTTGCAGATTTATTATCATGTCCGGCCAGTGTTTACGTGAGAGTGAAAATATAAGGAAACAGGATTAACATAATATTTTTTACTCCCTACCCATTATCCCTCTCAAAGATATATAGAGGCAAATGCCGCCTACCTCACCCCATTCATGTTATGGCTTTGCCCGGTAACAAAGCCATGGATCCAATAAAAGATTACGACACATATAAATTGATATATAAAATAAAATAAACCCGACTACCAACTTCTTTATTCTTATAATCAACCTTAATTTTATTTTTACATTTCGTAACCATATGTGTGTTACAAATGCAACTTTTGTCATGCACTATTTGGCATATGACGCCAATCAAAAAACCCTTACGAGAATGAATATAACAAGGTTTAAACGAACTAACTTGAACAGCTGGCAAATAAAGGCCGTGAATTTGGTGTGTTTGTCGCGTCTGTTAATAACGGTACTACCTTTCTCCATTTTTGCGTACATATTCAATATGCGGGACACGTTATGTTTGGTACACGTGTCCCACCCTTCGCTATGGAACGCGTTCAATTTGGTAAAATATTCGTTGATTTTGCCTTATCAAAATTGAAAAAAAAATCAGTTTGTATCATTTTATTTTCCTTTAAAAAGAGTGCAAATAAAGCGGTCCGGTTCGTGGCGCGATATGCAATTTAATCATTTTTAATTAAGGAATTGCGTGCAAGATTGGGTATAGAAATGATTGGAGCGGTAGTGCGAAGTAAATAGACTGAGATGGTTTGGGCAAGTGGAACGTATGATCAAAGATGACTGGGTAAAGTGATGCACCTTGATGGAAGTAGGAGGGTCAAGACCTAGAGGAAGACCCAAGATGACGTGGACAAATGTGATAGCGGCGGATATGAGAAGCATGAACCTTACAAATATTGAAGCTCAGGACCGTCAAAAATGGAAAAGAAAAATCAGAGGAAAAACTGGCCTACCCGGGTAAACCTGGAAATCGCCATAAACCGGAGAAGAAGAAAAAAAAATAATTTACTGAAATGATAATTTTAAAATATGTTATAGGCAAATGGAGATATCAGCGCTTATACGGTTGGGTGTATATCGTAGCAGTGAAGAATTTGTTAAGCACGCGAGCTATTGTTTATCACTTTTACGTTATTTCGTTTTTCAAAATTAAGTCTTTTACTCTCGGCTATAAATCTTTGCGAATAAGGGAGAGCAAATGAGGACTTTTAACGTCGTAATTTGAACAGCGAAACTGTAAAAACTTTTTTCTAAGATTTATTTTATCCAGTCTCGGTCCAACTTTTTTTTTAATAATTTGATCAATACTAAGATGAAATACTTCAACTCTATGCTATTGAGGGAATCGGATCTTGCTATCGTTCGTATTTACATTAGTCGCTGTATGTCATCTTTGTTCAACTTATATAGTTTTTTTTATATTCCATTCTGTAGCTAGAAGCTACCTGGCAGCATTGAATATGAAACTTCATTTAAATTTGTAACTATTTTCTTTTTGAAAATGACTTAAAATATTATAAAACATGATGGAAGAAAAAATTCTGAAACTGGTATAATGAAGTCACTTCTCTTTGCCGTCATTTTGATTTATGTTTGATAGTTATGCCTTATTAAGTAAAGGATTTTTTTTTAGAAAAAATTATATTACTACGTACAATTTAAATTTTAGTATTAAAGTTAGCTTCGCAAATCGGGACTTAATTATATAAAATTGTGTTTTTTTTTATAAAATCGTAACTGATTATTTTTTAAGAAAATGGTAATATAATTGCAAAACGCTATAATCAAAATGGCGAACCATCAATTAAGTCTTCTTTTTAATGCGCTGTCGATTGTCAGTCTAGTCGCGATCAAATATCGTCATGTCGTAAAAATTAAAAAAAATTTAAAACCTATAAATGACCAGATATGTTCCATGGGCTTAAAAAACTTGGAATGCGATCTTTTGCCATATAGAAAAACGTTTTCGATCCCGCTTATCAATCCATCGTTACCGCAAAGATATATAACTATTTGGGAAGATGCCTGTTTTGATAATTAAGCGTCAATATTCTGTATAAAGCTATATTTATAGGTTACCTACCATGAATTGTATTTGTTTTTCTCTACCTTACTCATTTATATTAATTCATTCATTATAAAGTGAAACCTTATTATCGTTGCCGTTCATATCGTAATTTCCGTTGAGCGCGATTATGCTCGCGTGTAAAGCGTTCACGCAACTGACCAGCGACGCTTTGATGGAGTCGCTCGTCTCCCCGATATTAATCTCCAATTTATGAGAATTAGGAAGACCGAGATTTTCGTTCCGACGAATATTATTGAGATGATCAGCTTTATCTTATTTATTATTTTTTAAAAAATAGGGATCTGGCGACCTAACTCTTGAAGAGTGCGTAAAATGATACGATTTTAAAAATCTAAATAAATTGAACTGGGTCGTACAATGACATATAATAATACCTTGAAGGCCGATGCATTCATTTTAAAAGTGTACATCAATGAAAAACAGCTGGGGAGGCCATTTTGGGTTACCCGTATCATTATTAAAAAATTTTAAAACGAGAGGCCAATTTATTCCCAAGTCTGACGCAAAACTTTATTAAGGAATTGCCTGATCATCGAGATAATGAGGAAGCAAGTTTATCAATTTAATAGTAGTTCTTAACATGAGAATAATTACTATATGGGTTAACAAAATGGCGGGTCCAGCTGATTTTGCTTTCAACGATTCCTTCAAATGCATTATGAATGAATCGTCAGTCAGGGTATTATAATATGTCATCGGGTCCGTCACTTAAAAGTGTTCATATGATGCATGTGGTATCGCATTATCGAAAAATAGGCATTTATTATAAATTAATTGAAATGGACGAATGAAATATCCACGATTTACTTTATCTATCAAAAAAAATTTGAAAAATACTTGATGAAGATGATAAGGGACCATATATATATATACACACTACTAGATCAACGATTCATTAATTAAAAGTGTCCATATTAGTGATCTGATCTGTATCGGACCTAATTTTTCAAGCCTGGCCTGGCCCGAATTTATTTAAATATAGAAATTAATTTTTTATAATTACTCAAAAAGCATATATGTTATGTGGCGTGGCGTCTAGTTTCTATAAAATAAAATAAAATATTTTTATTTTTTAAATTAAAAATTCAACATAAAAATTGATAAATTTAGATATATATATTTTAAAAAAGTTTCCAAAGCCCTACCCGGTTTTTATTTAAAAATATTTCGGGCCGGGCCGAGTCGAGTTTTGCAGATCTCTAAGAAGTATATTATTTTAAAAATTTAAATAAAACGCGCGATTGGGTGGTACTAAGTTGAGATTATTAAAATCAAATACTAGATAATTGAGCGATTTATTTGAATAAACATGATATATAAATAATGTTAATATAGCAAAAAAAAATTAGTTTTATATAAAAAATTTATTATCATTTAAAAATTTAATTTATTTACTTAAATTTGACATATTTTTAATTTGAATATAGATGAAATAATCATCAGGAGAAAGTAAATAGATGATATTAGTTGTCATAAAAATACAAATTTTTAGCAAAATAATCTTTAAAAATTTATAAAAAAAAAATAAATGTATTCGCAAAAAGGTGAAATAATATTATTTCAATCATCAATTGTTTAAGAATTTAATAATTTTAATGAATGTGGAATAATTATATCTATTATATTGAACAATTTTTTATAATAATTTTATATTGAAAGATTAAGCAATATAAATATATCCGCAAGATGGAGTATTTATTTAAAAATTTAATATACATGTATTTTTTTTATTATATAACAAAAATGCCAGTTTAATTTACGATAAATCAAAGACCTGCACTTGTACAATTTGAGCTGTCTGACCCGATCTTTATTTTCAGCCGGCCCGACCCGGGTATATATAAAAATTGAAATTATTCTATCAGAAGAATAAGCAAGCATTATATTTAATTTATTTTTATATTAGTTAATTTTGCATGTAGCATGAATTTTTTTTTCCCAGCAAATTATAAAATAAGAAAAAAAGGATCGTGTTTGTGATCGCGATACTTTCTCTTTTTTTTTTTTTAAAAAAAGGATCGATCTTGGATTTCGTTCCCTTTTTTTTTGAAAAAATCTATATCAGGATTCGATCCTTGTAAATATTCTAGAATAAAATTCATGAAAAAAACAAGTCGTCTTAGAATATATGGTAAATGATCTAAGTTTGACAAAATTTTTTAAAAACAATTATGCACAAAAGCTCTTGCACAAAATATTGTACATCTTCAAAAACTGTGTCTTAAATTATAGTATGATTTACCTCTCAGCGAAAATCCCCATATGGGGATAGAAAAGATAGCAAAATAAAATCTGATTCTAGATCGAAATATCGGTAGTAGAGCACACCCTTTAATATTTTACGTATTTTACAACTACTTTTATCAATTAAATTTTTGTATAAAATTACATTACGCGGGTGGCGGGCGGGTTAATGCGGCGGGCGTGGGCGGGTAAAATTTTTGATAATTGCAGACCATTGTTGTTAAATGGCTCGTAGGCCCAAAAGGATTAGGCAAGCTTCGAGATTTAGTTAACAGATGTCCAAAACTATTCCGCTTTCTATGAGCAAAATCTCCGGGCATGCGTAATATTTTCTGGCCAAAATATCGGGTTAGCCATTTTTTTTAAAAAAAATGGAGCCGTTTAACAAACGCTAGTAATGATAAGGGTTTCGCCATTTAAAAAAAGAAAGAAAATTGTATGTTTATTCATATGTTTTTGACATGTGACAGGAGGTTTCTAGAACCCTACCCAAGCCAATAAGGATATTACCACTCCCTCCACTCATTTTTACCTCCTATTCCCTTCGAAATTTATTAAAGTAATTGAGATATATTGTATCAAAGGGAGCGAAATTTTTATAATAATTATTAAAAATATTAGTTGTTTTGGTAATTTGCAGAGACCTGCAGAGGCCCCATTTTTAAGGCCCGGCCTGGATTTTTTTTAAAAAACATAGGCCCGGCCCGAAGCCCGTTAGAGCCAGGCTTACTTTTGCAGATCTCTAGGAATCAGCTGTAGCGCCATTATGGGGACACTTCGACAAATTGTCTTTATTTATTTTTATATGAAAAACACATTAATATCTTTCCAATCGACTTGCAAACCACAAAAATGGCGATTCAGTTGACTTCCGTGTATGGTCACTTTTAAATTACATTTAACGTCTAGTAATATATATGTATATCAGTGGGCAGAAATGTGACATGAAAATAAGGGGAAGGGTGTAGATATCTTTAAGTATAATCTTACAATAAATAAAATAATAGCCCCGAACATGTTTAATAAAAATTCATCAAATATATTTGTACCGTGCTGATGTAATTTTGTTTGAATGATACTATCCGTGAGATAGTTTGATTTGTCGGCATCGAATTCTGTAACGAAATACGAGAAGAAAATGCCAAAAAATATTATTAGACCTATATCAAAATTCTATATATACAATAAAACCTGGTATAATTTGAGCACTCTTGGGCGCAAGATTTTTGATACAACTCAAACTTGTTGTGCCTCAATTTAATGTTAATAGAAATTTGATTGGGGGGGGGAAAACTCACAATTTTGGTAAAATTAGAGAGTCGCCTTGAATTATCAAAAGCCCAAATTAGACAAGTTTTACCGTATGTAACTAGTGTCGTTAATCGGCTAACTCAATATTTTATCCAGAAAAAAATATTGTGCAAGCCTAAAAGATCTTGTTCAAAAATGGCACATAGGATTGAACATCTGTTGGCGAAATGTCGACGCCTAAGGCAATATTTTCCTGGTTGCAATGTTGAGTTAGCCATTTTTAAAAATCGGCTCGAATAGAGCCGAGCCGTTTAACATCACTAGTGGTTATAATGCGACCTTCGTATTTTTTCAAACGTTAATAAATAAATAAAAAATACCTTTAATTAAATTGACATCGTAAGGTAATACTTGGGAGAAGTAAAAGAAGAGATCGTTTTGGATGGAGTACATGCCACTTCCGACGAAGTTATTTACGAACCTGAGAAAATTTAATTTATAAAGATACATAAATTCGCTAGCCCCCCGTGGAACCGGGCATCGGTTTATGCGTGGCTCGGGCTGTAGAAAATCTTTACAAAAATTCTCAACGAATAGTGTTGTTAAACGGCTCGGTTTAAAAATGGCTAACTCTGTGCCAACCTATGAGCGAAATCTTAAGGTTTGAGTTAGCGGTTTTTAAAATCTGCTCAAAACGAGCCGTTTCGGTTTTTAAAAATCCGCTCAAAACGAGCCGTTTCGGTTTTTAAAAATCCGCTCAAAACGAGCCGTTTCGGTTTTTAAAAATCGGCTCAAAACCTAGCCGTTCAACATCACTACAAACCAGTTTGGGCTGATGTCTGAATATACGATCTGAACCACTTTATATTTCTATCTATTTCTAGGGTAAGCCAACAAATCTAAGACGAAATAAACCACGTGACACATAATAATTTACTTGTAAATCCTTCCAGTGATTTCGTTCCTTACCAATATTTTGGATATTTTGAGGATATCGTTATAATGACCCTTGTTTTTGGCGAGATTACTGTCCACAATTTCATCGTTCGAGATAAGATTTTCTTCTTTAGCCATCAGTCTTATAGCGCTCAGTATGCCCAAATTTTGGTGCTTACATTGTTGTTAATAAAAAAAGAAATTAACATTTCGATATATATAAATTTACCTTTTACTACGATTTTAAGTTTTAATTATTTTTTATGATCCCCCCCTCCCAAATGTAACTATAAATTTTTATAATGCTATATCCCCCCCCCCCCATTTTTAATGATTTGTCTAGTTTTGTTAATTTGCTTGGTCGTAAAATTTACTACCCAATTTTGTGCTCAAGCCTGCTCTGAACACAGACCCGGGGTACCTGCTCAGAGTTGGTTACTAGACCCAAACCCAGGGTCTGGGGTTTACATAACCAACCAATTAACAACACTAGCTTTGTCAATAGAAAGCTGGCAGGCCAACATATCATGCAAAAAATTTAAAAAACTTTCTCGCTAAAAAAAAAAATAATTTTGAAGAATATCACTTGAAAATCATATTCTAGAGAATTGTTAGGCACGTGGATAACGGGAGTTCTTCTAAGGCTCCCGACCAGAACGAGGTTGGGCAGATTTAGCGTTCGATAAAAATTGACCGGTTTAGTCGGGAAAAACAATAGCCTGTAGGTGATTACTTTGGAAAGTAAAAATAATTGTGTTAGAAAATAATCATATCAAGGATATTTCTAACTAACTTTTAAGTAATATCACATTCGTTTTTTTTAGTACACAGTGCCATCTTTTCGACCACATGGCTCGTGTGGATTAAACGGCACGATTTGAGCCGGTTTTTTAAAACCGGTCAACTCGATATTTTAGTAATAAAAAAATTGACTATAGGCCCTCGAGACTTAACTAATGGATCTCCAAAACTTGGTGCCATCTGGGATCTAAATCTTCGGGTTTGGGTAATATTATTCTAGATAAAATATCGGTCAAACCGAGCCGTTTAACAACACTACGACATAGCATCGAAAAAGGTTCGCTAAATCCCCTCAAATTTTATAGCGAATCCGTGAAGATTAGCTAAGGAAGAAGTGTTTTTTTTTCGGTATCTGAAAAAGAATACACAAATACGCAGACCGGACCTAGGTCCTCCCTTCTGGTCTGAAGAATAAATTCTTAATAGCATTTTATCTTCCTAATCCAAAAAAAACAAAAATAAATAGAGAGATTCAGAATTTTTTTTCCCTTGATTTATCACATATATAAGAAACAAAGACTGATTAAAAACTACTAAAGTCATTTTGCTATGAATGGAAATCTTACCATTATAAATTATATCGAAAATTAAAGAATAAAGGTCGACGCCATATTGATTATTCAAGTAAATTTTATTTTTGAAGACATAATAAATGCTCCATTTTACGGTAACAGTTTTTGTACATTGATCAAATTCTGAGACGCGCGTGCGCGGGTGCCATATTAGTATCGATCGATACTTTTAATTTTGAACCGACACAAGCGGACGATACCCCCAAAAGATGATAATTAACCTTCATAACTTTCAAGTTTAGAATTTGGGAGAAAGAAACGCAAATCTTTTTAAAGAGCATTTTTCGACTCCACCAGACACTTCAAATTTTTAAACGTATATATATATATATACAAACTTGTGTTAACGAACGTGTTAGTGAAGCTGTAATAGTCGACGGCCTTTAGCGATAGAACGTGAAATAAAAATTGTTCCTTCTCCTCGTCACTTCTGAGAAAGGCGTACCTTTTATAATTTTTCCTAATAAAAAAAAAAAAAATTCTTTCTTTAAAACCCGTTACTTTGATCATCGCGATAAAAAAAAAACCTGAGATATTGATCGGCGTGAGGGGCGTCGTATATGAGCGCGTTCAAATGAGAGTGCAGCGATTTCCGCTCGAGCGCCAGTTTAATGAAACACCTTACCAATCCTATTTGACTTTGGATATCTTTAACGCGGGTTTGTATGTTACTAAGGGTTACATTGAAAGATATTATATAAAATATTCCAGATTATGGCCACATAAATTGGCGGTAAGGATGATAAATGAAATGTAATAGCGAAACAGATGGGGAATATATAAAAAAAACCTCAAATCGAATTCGATGGAATTGGGTAATTGCCAATTCCTGTAGAGAATGGAATCCTTGACGTTCCTGATATAGATTTGCTTGGGCCAGATGGACTTCGAGAGTATGTCCTGACTCTTGCTCACGAACAAGTCCAAAAAATTGGCTTTATTGTCCGCGAGGCTCTCTTTGTCACTTTCTCGGTGATCGCGATTATTTTTAGCCCCGGTTATAGCTTTAAAGGGCGGACTAAAGGGGGTAGATGTTAGCTTGCTATTCAGGGTTGATTTTAGGTTGGATAATGAGGATATATCTTTTAAGGATGGAATAGTTAAAACGTGTTTTAGAAAAGCTGTTAAATAAATCTAACTTTCAAATAATTCCAATGCTTAGCCATGCCGCCTTTTAACCCTTAAAAATTGATTCAACTTATAAAAACTTGTTTTACGCGATTTGCAGTAAGACCAACGTTATCTGATTTAATAATAGGTGATTAGATACCGGAGTCCCCTTTTCTTTTAAAAGAATAACAATGTTACTCTTTGTCCAAGGATAATGTCTAACAGAATTAGTTTTAAATCGTTTATACAATCACGGTAAAACTTTATGTTAAATAAAACTCGAAAAAAATTATACCTTTTAAAAATTTATATAAAGAAAAATTAGACTCAGGCTATTGATGCGATTCCTTATGATAGCTTTCGCGCCTCCCAAAAGATTATCCTCGAGATCCAAGGACTCGAATCGGCCATCGCTTTCGTTATTACTCGTGCTATCGGTACAGCCCAATATCGAGTCGGGAATGTTCAGGTTTAAAATTGGAGTCGCGGATAGTGGAGGCGAAAACGTGAGGTTAGGACAGGACAGCAAATCACGCCTATTCGAATCTCGGGGAGGGTTCCTATCTTTGACAAATGTCATCATGTTGTGCCAAAGGGCTGATTTGACTTCCTTCCATATTAATATTATAAATATTTTTTAAAAAAATGGTATAGAAAAATAGTGAAAGAGAAAGAGGTTAAAATAATTTTATTGTCAATTTTGTAATATAAAATGGTGGCGGCTAAGATCATTAGAATGGCGGACGTAAGTGTTGGGATGAACCAACTCTGAAATATTTATTGATAGGGGGAAAAAGGCAAAGGGGATGAGATAGAAAAAAAAAATACTAGCATAAACAGAAAGACCGATTCAAGTGGAAATTCCAAAAGTTTTTAGTACCGGTCCGCGTGGTCTCGCCGGACCTATTTTTTTTGTTTTTATTTAATTCTATATATGACGCCTTCCTTACCTCCAAAAGGTTTCCGCACCGGGTGTACCCGATTGGTCGGTTTTCCATATCACCCATTTTATCGCCAATTATAAATATGTTCATGTATACCTCTTGTAACTTGTAAGGCGCATCAATATATCTACATAATTACGCCATTTTATATTTACGCTTATCGATTATTTACAAAATGGTTGCAGAAAATTGTGTCACTAGGAAACTATATCTCCACATCAACCAAATTCGATTAGAGTCGGTTTTAAATTATTTAGTGTATTTTTAATTTTTCCCATTACATTAAAAAAATATATGTATCTAATTATTGTGTAAAGTAATGACTATGTTTTTGCGCCATCTAGAGACACTTATAATATTAACATTTTATTCACTCATGCTTATTGTTATATTGTGTATTTTTACGTTACAGTGTGTGGGAAAGGAGATGCTAGAAATTCTATCCAATGCACCAGATTTCAGAAATGGGCGCATAATAGATGTAGCGGGGAAAAAGGAAGTTTGATGTTAGCAAGAATGACCTTTATTCGTAAAACTTGCATAAAAGAGGTACATAATAATGATAACGTAGAAAATGGTGGTATGGATATTGGCAATGAGTTAACCCTGGGAAAAGTGGATAAGTTTTGTTATTTGGGTGATGTGCTAAACGCAGATGGTGGTGAAGATTCTACCTTTGTTGCAAGGAGTCAGACAAGTTTGGAAGAAGTTCAGAGATGTCGTCTATTCTGATAAATAAAAGAGTCTCTCTGAAGTTAGGAAAGTTTAAGTAAACTGTGCGAGTGTTTAATTTATGGTGGCGAAACATGGACAATGAAAGCGGCCCACGAAGCCAAATTAGAAAGAACAGAGATGAGGATGATTAGATGAATGTGTGGGGTATCTCTGAGAGAGAGAAAAATTGGCAAGGAATTGCGAGCAAGATTGGGTATAGATAAGATTGGAGTGGTAAAGCGATGGAATAGATTAAAATCGTTTGGGAACGTGGAACGTATGACCGAAGATGAATGGGCAAAGGGATGCACCTCGATGGAAGTAGGCGGATCAAGGTCTAGAGGCCCAAGATGACGCGGACAAATGTGATAGGGGCGGGTATGAGAAACATGAATCTTACAAATATCGATGCTCAGAACCGTCAAAAATGGAAAAGAAAAATCAGAGGGAAAACTGGCCTACCCGGGTAAACCTGGAAATCGCCATAAAACGGAGAAGAAGAAGAATTTAGCAATTAAGTTTGTCTATAGTTTTGCCATTCAATTTTTAGATCATAAATTATAAATTACAAATGTATAAGAAATTGTAGGTAGAATTTTTATTTTATTTAGCACGTAAGGAAAACTTATTAAAATACCAAGAAATCCTTTAGAATTAGTGATATTTATAATTAAGTTCCAAATATTTGTTCATACTGGAAGGTACGATAATGGAGAATTTCAGAATCACCTCTCATCAAAATAGAAAGGTATGACGAAATAAACACATTTTTAATGGCACCCATCAGCATATAGGAGACATTAAGACATTTTTGCTTCGCCCATCATTTTTTTGACAAGCTGCCCGTTAGAAATAATATAATACAAGAAAATTAACTTGTTGTTTGATAAAACCGTGATTCCAAATCCGTTCCAGCATATCGCAGAGATTACCTGTCAACGTATTTTCGGCGACGTTCATTTCGGAGGTAATGGATTTTGGGTCCTCGTCGCAAATCGCGTTCAATGTTCCCAAATCTTTGCCAACCAAATCGCGATTTTCGCTGGTCTTGTTTTCCTTGGTGAGCTTATCTACGAGCATCCTCTTGGTCTTCAGAAATATGTTTTTGAATACAAAAAAAAGGATGTAAAACCTAGGTTTATCTTCACCGAAATCAATGACTGTAGCTAGACCCCACTGTGGTGACCTTTTAATGTATTTAAAGATTAATTTCGTGATTAAATACCCTAAACTTAGATTCTTTTAACAGGGCTTCGACGAATTTCCAATTGGTATGAGCTATCTCCGCCGGTGATGTAGCGGTATTCAACTTGAAGTATTGATGAGTATGTCCGTTAAACTAATATCGACCAGAATATTTAAAAAAAAAGATTATTTTTAAAATATCAAAATACCAATTAAATGTGTTAAATGGCTCAACTTAATCCATATTTTCTTTGGGAGGGTTTCAAATTTAACAATATACATAATTAAATGGCGCGAGATAATGTATCGAACGATACATTATCAAAGATACAATGATTTGAGAATAAGTATATATATATATAATTTGATAGACACTTACATTATCGTGCAATTTTTTCAAAGGACCTTCTTTTCCGTGTGCCCTGCAAAACAAGGAAAAAAAAGTGAATTAAGATTATGAATGAAATAATTTTTATCTTTCAAAAATTTAAAATCAAATTCTATTGATATTAAAAATTATAAAGAAACAAATAAATATTATTCTGGTTCTAGCTTTCGCGTTTTCGTGTATATTTTGAACACTAACAATTGATACTTTTTTTAGCGGTGGGTCTATTTATCGCTCGGCTGAAAATTGCTCGGCTAGGAAATATCGCTCGGCTAACCACATAATAAATCATTTTATTACTAAATATCGCTCGGCTGAGAAATATCGCTCGGCTAACCACATAATAAAACATTTAATTACTAAATATCGCTCGGCTGGGAAATATCGCTCGGCTAACCACATAATAAATCATTTTATTACTAAATATCGCTCGGCTGAGAAATGTCGCTCGGCTAACCACACTATAAATCATTTATTACTAAATATCGCTCGGCTGAGAAATGTCGCTCGGATAACCACACTATAAATCATTAATTACTAAATATCGCTCGGCTGAAAAATGTCGCTCGGCTAACCACACAATAAATCATTAATTACTAAATATCGCTCGGCTGAAAAATGTCGCTCGGCTAACCACATAAAAATCATTTATTACTAAATATCGCTCGGCTAACCACACAATAAATCATTTATTACTAAATATCGCTCGGCTGAGAAATGTCGCTCGGCTAACCACACTATAAATCATTAATTACTAAATATCGCTCGGCTGAAAAATGTCGCTCGGCTAACCACACAATAAATCATTTATTACTAAATATCGCTCGGCTGAGAAATGTCGCTCGGATAACCACACTATAAATCATTAATTACTAAATATCGCTCGGCTGAAAAATGTCGCTTGGCTAACCACATAATCATTTATTACTAAATATCGCTCGGCTAACTACACAATAAATCATTTACTAAATATCGCTCGGCTGAGAAATATAGCTCGGCTATAAATAATCCTGTTGTATTAGGATGATAAAAATTCATTATATTTTATAAGGATTATAATTAATTTATATATTTACGAACCTGTTGTTAGCCATGTATTTGTTTATTTTTGTGGAAAAAGAAAAATACAGTGGCAACAAAGGAAAAAGATGTTTATTTTTGTTTTGAAAAAGAGAAATTTATGTATATACTATCACTTATTATTTTTATGGAAATTTATGAATAAAGAAATATTTGAGAAGAAAAGATTCATTAAGTAATAATTAATGAAGAAAGATAGAAAAGATCTATAATTAATATTTAAAAATTACCTATAATTAATACTTTAAAAAGGAAAAAGGTAAATAAATATATATTATTTAGTTATTTCTTTCTAATAGAATTTTTGTATTTCGTTACTTTCATTTTAAATCCAGATTTATTTTTTCAAAGTCCTTTTTGACGACGACGAATTATTTAAAATAAAAAGATTAAAATTATACCATGCCTCTGAAGAAGATTGAAGAACATACTCAATTTCATATTCCAGAATTTGTCAAAGAAAAAGTTAATATTCAGGATTACCTATATGATATAGAACTCATTTTCAAGGTAAAAAATATTTTCGTTGAAAATATTTAATTGAAATTAAAAATTTTTATTTTCCAAATATTTTAAATAATATAAATTATTTAACTTTAATCGAGAATCTAGAAAAAATTTTTAAGGATGTCTCTAGCATTTTACTTTATAGGAATGATTTTATATTCTAAGTGAGCTTTCATTTTCTTAATATTAATTGAGAATTATTAATTTTTATAAATAAAATAAGTGTTTAGACAGGTTTAAAAAATTTTCTATTAGATATTTCATCTTCAATACTTTTATAAAATTAAATTTAATCATAATCCTTTTTTTTTTATAAAAGTAAAAAAAATAATATACTATCCGCTAGATGGCGTCAATATTATAATTTTTATTAAAAATATATTAATAATGAATGTGTTTAATAAATTTTCTTAATGAGATAAATTCTAAATACTAATACAAATATTAAAATTTAATTGAAATTTTATAATATTTTCAAAATTCCATAATATTCTAAACAACTTCTTAGTTCATTTACGCCATTTTTAAAAATTTATTCTCAAAGATTCCTATTGGAGTATTTATAACTTTTAAACAATAAAATTCATTTACGCCATTTATTTTTAATTTATTCTCTAATAATATAAAAAAAAGTAAATTAAAAAGATCGAATCGGTTTTTCTAATCCGAAATTTTTGGAAAACGCCAAATATCTGTGCCGATCCTATCCGATATTTAATATCGGCACAGCCCTATTAATGATTTATGTTTTCCCCATAATTTCGTTAAATGAGCTCTGGCAACCTGTTCCTAATTAATGGTTAATAAGATTTGATATCTGGGTTCGAGTATTATTTAAATAAGTATCCTCTTTAAATCTCATAATTGGAAATATCATGGTCATGAAATCTTTTATTAATGAATATTGTATAACAAAATTTATTATAAAAAAAGTTTGGACCCTGAACCAAAATTTTTAAAAAGGTTTTTCCCGCGAAATATCGAGTTGTTTAATAAAAATAATAATTAATTTCAGGAAATAGCTAATTTTCGGAATGAGATAAATAAAAATAATTTTCAGAAAAACTTAAAATAAAATATATCATTTGAAATGACAGATGCGTCAAACAAGTTTATTTCGAAATAAAATAATTTATGACATATCACCAATTTTCCAAAAAATTTAAAACAAATTTATAATTTAAATTATAAGCTTAAAAAAGATACAAAAGTACGTCTAAAAAACTTCGCGGATAATATTTTACACATTACCAATGATATACATATTTCGCAATTTATCCAATCAATCATTCATATCAAAGACAAAACACCATCGATAATTTGCTATACTCATTTTATCATTAAAACTATAAAGTTTTTGTCAAACCAAGCTGACTTCTGTATATTAGACGTTGAAAAAACATTTAATTTGGGTGATCTATACCTCTACTGCTACAGTATTTAAACATATAGCAGTTAAGAGATATAAAACATACGAATCCCTAATATTTTTAGGACCAATATATTTGCACGGAGATTCTGATATGACCACATATACTTTTTTTTCTCATTTACATTCTGCAATTTTAAAAAATAAAATAAATATTAAAAAATATCATATTTGGTAGTGACCAAGAAAAGGCTATAGTAAACCCGATTCGGGAAATATTTATATTTAACACTCATTTAACATGCACTCGTCATTTAAAAGACAATATAAGAAAATATTTGTCGGAAAAACAAGGTGAAAATGGTGTTATGTCTAAAAAAATTATACAGGATATTTTTTTCTTTTAATGGGCTTGTATTTTCTCGGAACGACCAAATATAATAACGAAAAATTAAATGATTTATATAATTATTGTGATAATCAAAATTTAAATATATTTTTGCCATATATAAAAAAATAAATTTCAAAAAGTAATTTATGAAACATGTTTACATTCCCCTAAAAAAAATAAAATAATAAATTGTTTATGGACAAATAACAACCGTGAATCTATCGCGTTTTAAAATCGTATATAAACTGTAAACAACGTCCTTTGAAAGAATTAATCGAAAAAAATTAAAGATATAACAATGTTACGAGAAAAAGAATTCGAAATATCCTTCTTAGGAACAGGAGAATATTTTTTAAATAATGAGTATCATAACTATTTAATTCCCGAATCGATAGAATGCCATGATACATTTAAATAATTTACTTAATAGTAAAAAACAAAGATAAATTACATTCATTAGATAAAAATTTATCCGTTTTAAAACCAAAAGGCTCAAAAAAACCACATCAGAGACGTAGAATTAAAGCAGAAAGGACTCGAAAAAATAATATCAACTAAATTATATTTATCTAAGGGAATTAATGTCTTTTTAGTTGTACAATGATAACGTTTTATCTTTACATGATTATTAAGTGAAGTATTATATCATAACAATCTACTGATTCGCGTATTAGAAATTAGGATGATAATTATTTAATAAATATTCTTCCCACTCTCTGAGATTTATCTTTCAAATTCATTATCTTAGATCATTGTAATATCTTTAATTCTGTCGTACAATTTCTTAGGGTTTTTAAGTAAATATATTATATATAGCGAATAATTTTAATTCATTTTTACAATAGTTGCATAAATCACGTAAATTTTTTATTATGGCCATCCATTAAAATAAAAATTATGTTGTGTAATTTTTTTAGACATAATAGCATTTACAATTTTTTTATTGGAATATTTCGCGAATCGGGTTTACTCGCTTAGGGGCCCTACACTTATATTTTTCCAATGCTTTATTTCTTTAATTTATTTTATTATTTCAGTTCATTAATGTATTTAGAAATGCATTTATGAACTGACTACTTAATATTTTTTAAATTTCGTAATTAAGAAAATATTATAAATTTTAATTTCCCTATTTTTTCCTGATTTTCGCATCCCCTTCGCCCATTAAAGTAACAGATATTTCATCAACATACATAATTAGGTTTATAAAATAGTGAAATGAACTTGTTTTGTGTTGATTTAGGACAACGTGGTAGTGAATTTCATTAAGAAAAATTTATTAAACACATTCATTATTTTTATATTTTTGGTAAAATTATAAATATTTACGCCATCTAGCGGATAGAATGTTATTTTTTTTTAATTTATAAAAAAAAAGGATTATGATTAAATTTAATTTTATGATTAAATTTAATTTTATAATTAAGTATTGAATCTAAAATATCTAATAGAAACTTTTTTATACCTGTCCAAACACTTTATATTTATAAAAATTAATAATTCTCAATTAATATTAACAAAATGAAAGCTCACTTAGAATATGATAGTAAATCTTTTTAAAAATATAATAATTTGCAAATTACCCTTATGTAATTGAAATTAAAATAAAAACAATTTTCACCTGAAAACAACACTCAAGTTATTTTTTTTTACAAAAATTTTTCACTTTTCTTAAATGAAGAAAATC